TGCCAGTAAAAAGGGTCTCCGGTTCTCTACACTCACCATACGAAACACAGCAGCATTAAGCTGTTATTTTACGCTGGTTTTCTGTGAGAGCGTGGTCCTGCCCCGGTCGGCTCGACCGGGGCAATACTACTAATATGGCTGCAGCATGGCTCTACCACGTATAAACCCTTCGGCAAAATGCACAGAAGTCAGAGGAGTACAATTTGCTACTATGTCTGGCGTATGTGGACTATGAGAAAGCCTTTGATTCCGTCGAAATTTGGGCGGTGCTGCAGTACCTTCAGCGGTGCCAAGTTAACTGTCGGTATATCGAAGTGCTGAAGTGCTTGTTCAGTAGGGCTACGATGGCTATCCGAGTACAGTACCAGAATACGAAACCTATCCAATTGCAGAGAGGTGTAAGACAGGGTGACGTCATATTCCCGAAACTCTTCACGGTTGCATTGGAAGACGTTTTCAAGCTTCTGGACTGGAAAGGACACGGTATCAACATCAATGGCGAGTACATCACTCACCTTCGATTTGCCGAGGATATAGTCCTTATGGCAGAATCGCTGGAGGACCTAAGCACTATGCTCAATGACCTCAATAGTGCTTCCCAACGGATAGGTCTTAAGATGAACATGGAATTTATAGAATTTATAGAATATTTTTTATTCAATATACATTACATGTGTAATTCTTATTGAAAGTCATTTTTTACTTTACCACTGGTTCGAAAAAAAACCCTCTGTCCTGGGAAGAACCAGCAAGAAACCCAGCGGGACTTTTTTTTAAAATAAATTTTACAATATAAATGATTACGTACTATTTACAAATTTTATTTTAGAAACTGCTTGGAAGCGACCACCTCATTCCCAGGGGTTATTATCAACCATGTATTCATTTATACTATAATAACCCTTTTTATACAGTTTCAGCTTAATAAAACATTTAAACTTGGTAATAGAGAGAACCTGTACACTTTCCTGGACCTTGTTGTAATAGCGTATACATTGCCCCAAGAATGAATTACTGATTCTGTGGAGTCGAGATAGCATCACTAGCTTGTGTTTGTTCCTAGTGTTTACAGAATGTATATCACTTTTTTTACTAAAACTATTTTTGTTTTTGTGAACATACATTAAATTTTCGTAAATATACTGAGAGGCCAAAGTTAATATATTAATTTCTTTAAATTTATCTCTAAGAGACTCTCTCGGTTTTAGATTGTAAATAGCTCTAATGGCCCTCTTCTGTAAAACAAAAATAGTTTCTGAACCAGCCGCATTTCCCCATAGCAAATTCCCATAAGACATTATGCTATGGAAATAACTAAAATAAACTAATCTGGCTGTCTCGACACTAGTGAGACCTCTAATCTTTTTTAAAGCATAGGCTGCAGAACTTAGTCTGCTTGCTAATTTGGATATATGGGGGCCCCACTGGAGCTTTGCGTCAAGAGTGATGCCAAGAAAAACAGTGGATACAACAGGGCTCAATTCCTCCCCATTTAAGAACACATTGGTATTCAGATTTTTAACATTCGTTGTTGTAAATTTAATACAATTAGTTTTATTTCCGTTCAAATGCAGATTATTAACGTTAAACCAATGCACTAATTTTGATATAGCATTATTCCCTTAGTCACATTTAAATGATGGATAAAACAAAGATCATGTTTAATGTCCATGTCACACCTATGCCGGTAGTTGTTGGGAGCACTAAGCTCGAAGTTGCTGACGAGTATGTTTACCTGGGACAAATAGTCTGACTAGGTAAGTCCAACGTGGACCGAGAGGTCAATCGACGGATTCAACTCGGTTGTGTAGCGTTCGGGAAATTACGGCACATCTTCTCGTCAGGTATACCTCAAAACTTGAAAACAAGACTGTACAACCAGTGCGTGTTGCCAGTGATGACATACGGAACTGAGACGTGGTCCTTCACTGCTGGCCGGATGAGAAAGCTCAAGGTCGCTCAGCGAGCTATGGAGAGCTTTGTGGCATTCCTTGGGGGAGGCCTATGTTCAGCAGTGGATTTGTGAAGGGCTGTAATGATGATGATGATGAATGAAACTAGTAATAGCTTATTTACCTACGTCTTAATGCTAGACTAATATTGTTTCGTGAAGACTGCTATATACTGTATATAGCTAGTTTTGTTGTTAAATAAAGGTAAGTAGGTAGGAACTTACTATAACTAAGATTAAAACCAAAAATACATAAGTATGTGATACATACGGAATATACCTTCTTATTTCGATTCTACATAATAAGTTTGGTAATTAATATAGTTATGCCAACCCATCAAAGAGCTAGATAGAAGTTTATGAAAAAGTTATTTGTAACAAATCATTTACTCTGTTTCGTACTGCTAACTCGAGTTTAAACTCGAGTTGCGTAAATTTTAACTCGAGTTAACGTGAGTCATAATTTTTCAGAGTTGGCACATCTATACTTGATCCACCTAGTCTCACTGTGCCTATGCGTCACACAGCACTGGTGCGGCACCCCGCTCGAATTGAAAAAGAACCGGCACTGCAAAGCGAGATAGTATCTTGTTGCAGCAGTTATCAGTCTGCTTTGCCGCTCACTCGTGTTCGCCTAAATCATTCGTGTCTCAGCCATTTGAATTGGAACTATATTTCAATGTGTATAAATGTAACACGACGCACACTCTAGTTGTGTAAGAATATATTCTTTTTTAACTACACTTTCGTCTTTCTATATTTTCCTGACAATACTTGAGACTAGTCGGGACTAGTCCCAGGGACTTCAAGCAAAAGCTAGGTAGATTTTATACACTAGGTACGTGTTAATACTAGATGCAAATGGAGGCCATATGATGCAGTCGAGTGTCTAGTACGGACTTATGTTAATGTGATATCGGCACCGTATTGAATGATACCTACTCGACTTATTTAGCAATAGGTTTTTGTAACAAAGTTTTATTACGTGGTTAAAGAACTTTCGATTTATTTTTTATTTAGATATTAAAGTGTTTATTGTTTAAAAAAAATTGCAGCATTGTGGCTTGGCATCATTTTACGGACAAAGACCCAACAAATGGTCGAATGTAACATTTGTAGAATATAATTTAGTTTTAAAAACACTTAAGACTGATTGCGCGTATATAAAAAAAACAATGATTGTAGATAGGTAATTAAAAAAACGAAACAAAATAATAAAAAAATAAGCGAAAAAAAGACATAAATTGGATGATTCTTAAATAAAGAATTAATTGAAATCTTTTAAATCGCCAACAATCTAGAATATAAATAAAACTTAACGTTGACATTCGTAAGCCTGTGTAAAGTATGAATAGATGATTGATTACTATTCATTACCTTCACGTATCGGTTGTACGTAAAAACTAAGTATACATACTTTAAAATGTAAGTTATTCCAACCATACCAAACTTTATGCATGCTTCATGGACTAGGTGGAACAGGTATTGGGATCGAGTATTTGTACGGAATTGAACTAAGTGCACCTAGTACCTAATTTACCTAGTACGACTCATCTCTAGTTGTACATGCCCTATATAGTATATTATCTATGTAGGTACCACAGCCTAACTAGTATAGGCTTGGACATAGCCGGTCGCCATTGGGAGCGCTCAATTTAGTTCGTAGTCCTATAGCGAACTAGTTCGCTCATTTAGTTCATTAGTTCTTTTTTAATTTTTCAGTAGATCTAATTAAAAAAGATGAATATCAGTAAATAAATATTAATGATTTAATTAGTATGTAATATACTACATAATATATAATATGTGCAAGATACTTATCAAGAACTATTTCATGATATGTAAATTAAAATAAAATATACTTAATAAACGAAACTAAACATGTTTTTATATTTTTGAAGTGTATTGAAATAATGAAAATAACACAACTGCAATTTATAGATTACATGTCGCTACTTAATGTAACATAGTAACACAGTGTTACCATGATATAACAAGCCTCAATATAAGGAATTCCTAGATTTAACGAATTTTTTAAATCCCCTAGAACTGCCTGTAAGAGCTAATGCAAAATATAACTCTACATTACGAATAGATTTTATCAAACACATCTTTATAACGAATTTTTAATCATTGCATATATAGAAGCTATTATAGCTCTATTCAACAATTTTTTTCTACTTGAAATCTTGACATAACATATCCTATCAATTATTCCCACTTAATTCCACAACAAATCATGCCTTGACAGGTTCAGACACGTACACGACAGACAGGTGACTATTTACGTAATGTTGAGATTAATAAACAAGTTTTCTTATCTTGTTAAAACGAATCGTAGTTCCACCTAACCTGTATATAACGAACCTCATTATAACGAATTACTTGGAATAATAATGAATACTTTCTAATTCCATTCAGTTTCGTTATATTGAGGTTGCACTGTATTCGAGTATTTATTAAAATTAGTAGAAATAGAAAAGTAAACTTTTAATTTTGTATAAATTTACCGTAAAATTGAATTGAGAACTATACGGTATTGTATTTATGTACTGTTTACTATCACTTTCATATTAATATTGTGAGCCAGCAATATTTGTTATTTGTTGTTAATTGTGCACTAATAAATCTTTTACTATAGACTATAAATTATATAGTCTATAGTAAAATAACTATAACTCTGGTAAGAACGGTAAGAGTAAAAATAAATCGGTCGTTTAGCCATGCAGCACCACTCCATAATAGAGCGTACGCCAAAAAATAAATATTTTAAGAACTAAGAGCGAGATTGTTGACGAACTAGTTCGTATAGTTCACCTAAAAGAGCGCTCTTCCCACCTAGGTCGTTCACGAACTACCCAAGACTAAACTAGTAGAGTACGCAGATAAGTCAATCGTCGTTAAAAAACTATGGAGTGTTAAAGTATTCTCTGTCTACTGCTTCTAGTTAGTTTGTAGTCATCATAGATAAGACTGTATCATAGACTAATATATAATATTGGACTGTATATAGCAGTATATAGTATATACGAGAAGTTGTCATATCACAAGATCATAAGATCATAAGTCATAATACGAATAGGAAACACGAAACAAAGAAGAAAAAGTAGTAAATAGTCAGACACAAACTCGTAGAATTAAATAAGGAGTAGGTACCTACTTATCAATTCAATCTTTGTTATGCAGATTTTGCAAATAATAGGTCTTTTTAAAATCTTATAGTACCTTTTTAGAGGGTGTTAAACAAAACATCTGATTTTTGTTTGTATTAACAATTTTAGTTGAAATAATTGCGATGGATAGTATACAGTCATCTGCAGATGATAACACCTGTTCTGAAGATGAACACGAACGGAAAATACCTAATAGAAATCAAGATAACCGTGAAAATAATCAAGGATATTCTTCATGCGCGGCAACTTCCCCCAATCTTAATCAAGTGGAAGAGAAAATGCGTCGAAAGCTCCAGTTCTTCTTTATGAATCCTATCGAGAAATGGCAAGCGAAACGTAAGTTTCCATACAAGTTCGTTGTGCAAGTCATAAAAATTGTTTTGGTAACTTTCCAACTTTGTCTTTTTGCACACAACAGATATAATCATGTTAATTATACGTGGGACAATCGAATCAGCTTTTCCCATCTTTTCTTGCTCGGATGGGACTCCACACGAGAGATAAACGCTTATCCACCTGGTGCCGGACCACTTGCCGTTTATAAAATTAATGAATTCTTTAATACTCTGGACTATGCATATGCTGGTTATGCAAATCTGTCAAATGCTATTGGTCCCTACTCTTATAACGATGACAATAACAAGAGACCTGACCCAGTCTTTTGCCAATATAATTACAAACAAGGCACTATATATGGATTCAATGAAAGCTACGAGTTTAATTCTGAAATTATTGAAACTTGCATTAATTTTACGATGCCTGATGGTGAGTTGTTCCAATCAAAGCCTTACATTGAAAATGCAGGCATGGATATTAACTTTGCAGCATTGGTGAGAGCAAAACTCATGTTCTCAATTAAAACTATAAACTTTCGAGCTGCCGGTCCCATCACACCACCTGAATGTGTCAGGTTTGATGTGGAAATAATATTTGATAATGAAGATCATGATGGACAAATGTCTTTGTCCTTGGAAGCTGAACCCTACAAGCTGGCTTGTAATGGAGATAAAGCCTACATTACAGATAACAAAATTGATCAGATTTTAAGAAGTATTCTCAATATTCTTGTCATTTTGATCTGCTCTGCATCCCTTATTTTATGTAGTAGAGCTATATATAGGGCACAATTATTGAAGGAGCTTACTGTGCAATTTTTCCGACGGGCTTACAATAAGGAACTTAGTTTCGATGGACGTCTAGAATTCCTCAATATCTGGTATATTATGATTATAGTGAACGATTTGTTGATAATAATGGGGTCTGCAATTAAGGAGCAAATAGAAAGAAATCAATTTACAAATGACCAGTGGAATGTTTGTTCTTTATTTTTAGGTATGGGTAACTTACTAGTCTGGTTTGGGGTACTTAGATATTTAGGTTTTTTCAAGACCTACAACGTTGTAATTCTTACATTAAAGAGGGCAGCTCCAAAAATTTTTAGATTCTCCTTTTGTGCTTTACTTCTGTATGCTGGATTTATGTTCTGCGGCTGGTTGATACTTGGTCCATATCATATGAAATTCCGCTCTCTAGCTACAACATCTGAATGCCTCTTTTCACTTATTAATGGAGATGACATGTTTGCCACATTCTCAATTATGTCAAAAAAGTCACCTATGTTATGGTGGTTCAGCCGTGTGTACTTATATTCATTTATAAGTCTATATATTTATGTTGTATTAAGTTTATTTATTTCTGTAATAATGGATGCGTATGATACAATCAAGCAATACTATAAAGAAGGTTTTCCGAAAAATGATTTGCAGCAGTTCATTGGTGAAGCGAGCGTAGAGGAAGTGTCATCAGGGCTGTACAGAACACAGAGTTCCTCATCATTAAATGCATTAATGAATTCGTTATTCTGCTGTAATTTTTACCAAAGTGCATACACAAAGATAGGCGGTGGCAGCTCAACAATTAATATGTTGTAGTGTGTGTTATAGGCTCCTTATTAGTAGGTTGTAAATTACCATATGGAGGCCATAATATAATGTACATTGTTATCAAATGATATGAATAATAGATCATGTATAGATATAAGGTTTATTTGTAAATATTTGTCCACATTAATAAATCATCTACCAAGATTGTTACCTGTTCCACCAAAGGTTCTAAAATGTTAAAGTTGGTAGATATTTGATAACCTAAAGAATTTAATTTATAAATTTTCTGTTGTTATTATATATTTAGATATTGATTTAATCAGCTAATAAATTTGTTTTGTACTAAATTTGTTGTATATTAATTCTACATGACTATGAGGTTGTTAGCAGAACAGTTATTTGATATCTAACATGAGGTCATGAGTACATGTTGCATACTTATCTATCTATGATATTGTTTGTCATCCAACTATTATAAATTTGTATATTAGGTATTTTTATATAAATGAATAATGTATGCACATTATTCATTTTATATGTTATACTTGTATTTTTGAGATATATATGCATCCATATAAATAGTACCTGGCTGACTAAGTTTTGGTCAGTATTAAAAATTATCTCAATAAATTTTGAACGTAAAATATGGTTAAAAAAGTTAAAGTTACAGCCTATATACGTACCACTGCTGGGCACAGGCCTCCCCTCATTTCTGAGAGGGTTTTAGGGCAAGGAAATGTGCGCCGATGCGTGTTGGCGAACTTCACGTCTTCGGATTTTTTTAATCTTATTTCTCAGACATGCAGGTTTCCTCACGATGTTTTCCTCCACCGTCGAGCACGTGGTAAATCAGCACTTAAAATTGCCATTAACAATTTCATTGGTACTAGCGGGGATCGAAAACGGGTTGCTTGTGTACTGTGAAATTTACAGTGAGCGCTAACCAGCTGAGGTACAATGGGTCTTTTAATAAAAACTTATATTTTACTTACACAGTAAATCATCCATGTCTTCTATAGTCTATGTTAATTAAAAACTATAAATAATGTATTATATTTATCCCTACTGTGTACCCGTGGGTGTCGTAACAGGCGCCAGGGCGAAAACTGTAACTGGAGATGAGCAGCAGTATATTTATGATAACAACTCTAAATAATAAAAAACTGCGGTCGCCAACCCGCTAAGTGTGGCAACTGGTGGCAACTTTGGCATAGTCCTCCCAATGAGGCAATCTTTGGGGGAGGCCTACGTTTAGCAGTGGATTGCTTTAGTGTTCATTATTTAATAGAAAGTAAATAGGTAACAGTAAGAGCCAGTTTTGAGGTTATTACTGACGTTATTTAAAAAGTTGAGACAGGTGGAGTGGGGTGGGTCTAGTGTTGCCCAAAATCGGTTTTCGTCTTGTTCTTGCATTTTTGCAAGACCAAGACCGCCTAATTTTATCAAGACCAAGACCAAGACTGGCCGTGCAAGATTTGAGCAAAAACAAGACTAAGCTTGCGAGACTTTCATCTTGCATTTAGGACTGAGTGTCGTTTCAGGAAGTATAGGTGTTCGGGTATACGCTTAGGGGCTCTATGAGACGCAAAAAATGTGGAAAATTGGACTTATGCGCATTACGAGCAATACCATAAACATACATAGCGAATGAAAATATCCATTAAAAGAAATAATTTAAAATTAAAAATTTTGTACAGCCGACTTCAATATAAGTTATTTAAGAATAACTTAAAAACTATTGGTCTGACCTTGATCAAATTCATATGGGACCACACGAGAAGTACCAGCTTTCAAATAAAAAAAGAATCATCGAAATCGGTTCACCCAGAAAAAAGTTCTAAGGTAACACACAAAAAAAAACGAAAAAAAAAACATACAGTCGAATTGAGTACCGGCTCCTTTTTGGAAGTCGGCAGAAAAGGATGCATCCCTAGTTTTGACCATCGACACTTTGATAGTGCGCGGCGTCTTGTCGGGTACTCACTGTTCGGGGTTGTACCGACAATAAGGGGATGATAAACTGATAACGCTTGATAAGTCTGATAAAATATATTTTGGATAAGTTACAAATCTTAAAGGCTAGAATTACTGATAATAATGAGTACGCGTAGCGCTCTTGATGGCTATATGCGAACTGATTTTATAATACATTTGAAATATGTATAAGAGGTCAAGTTGTGAAATGATGACTTGACAATTGTACGTTGCATTTCATGCTCGTACATATTCCCGTGCAGCAAAGATGGGGTTAGTAGAATGATGGATGCTAGTGTGGCATAATCTAACTACAAGGTGATACCATTGTTTCTTATCTATCGTGCAAATGATAACTTGATTAGTACATGAATGTATAAGGTGATTAAACAATATTCTTATCTAAGACTAGTCTATGCACAATGGTTTGGAATTGCGTACACTGATCTGAGCACAGGCGACGTGCTTCTGTTTTGCTTAAAAACACGTGCATTCGTTTTTGAAAAACCATTTGCACTCACTTTTTGACACTGATTGCCCATTGAATAATTATTTGCACTCACACTTTGACACTGATTGCCCATAACACATTCACTACACTGAGCACTGACACTCGGTAGAACCTGTGGCGACGACGTCCTGTTCCGTCATAGGCACCGACACTCCCGCCCCCGCGGGTGCTCCTGGCGCCGACCGCCTACAGCGCCTCCAGCTGTATGCCAGGGCGCCCACCACAGTGACCGCAAACAATACATATATCGCAGCGTAATGGTGGATATCATGATAAGAAACCGTCTCTGCTAGGGGCTCGTTGTTCTTCATAATCTCAGTCTGTTCCTTGATCATCTGCAGCTGTATATTATTGGTTATATCATCATTCGTTTTGTTCGGTAAGGAGCGATCGGGTAGCGATATGTTGATGATATGGTTAATTGGTGATATCTTAGGGGCTCGTATATCAGAACGGATATTCATCTGGCTAAGTTCTTGTCGGTGTGAATAAACAAAGAAATCGGCTGCTTTAACTATACAACCTTGATCCACATTAAAAAGGCCAGAGCGGGTCAATTGCACTGCCGTAACTTGATCGTCACATAGTAACTTCATTTTGCACTGGTCGCAACAAAAATAAAAATATGTATTTAGTTTATTTAATTCTTTCCAGCGATTATAGCATGATCTGGTAATCGTTTTACATTTTCTTGATAAGGGTAGATTCTCGTAGAAACTTTGATCGTCCTTTATGTAGTAAATAGGCTTTTTATGATGGCACAAATTAATTTTGGTGTCTCTTCTAGTACATAAATCCAGGTCCTTTTCGGTCAGTGGCACTAGAGAGCCTTTCTTTAAATTGATAGCAATGTATCTTGATACCGGTACTACGGAAATTTCTTCTTTATTTTCTGATATATAAGGTACTGGTATAACTTCCAGGACTTCAAACATATCTCTGCTGATGAGAGGTATCTTGAGTTCGAATATGATGTAATTACCCCTTATTCGAGCTCGCACCTGCAGTAAGTTGTAGATTTCATATAAATTATAGTTATCTATTGGTAATGATAGGTCTTTCGGGAGCTGGCCTGCTATGACGTTCAGTTCTTGTCTTAACTGATTGGGAGATAACAAGTGGAAACTAAATTTTCCGTTGTATATATTTGTAATAGTATCGAGTAAATTTTGTTGTATATTTCTGAGGCTGATTATAAGGTTACTTGTCATCATGGCTGTACTGATAAATTCACTCGTGAAGGACATATTCTGAAGCTCTCTCTTGAATTGATCTACGGAATTTTCTATTGCTATAAATTTTCTGTTAATATTCTTGTGATTCTTCTCCATGATTTCTTCGGTGCGTTTTAATAAATTGAATTCCGCTTCCACTACGGTCGTTTGATTTTTCCATCGCTAAATGGTTTTGATTTCGCCTGATAAGTTCAATGTCTTTTTCATATTTTTCTGCAAAACTTTCGTCTAAAATACCGAATAAACTATTAGCAATATTTCCTACACCATTGATCAAGCCGCGCCGACGACGTGGGTGGGTCTCAAATGTATTATCATGTTGAGTAGTTAAAATGTTATTATAATATTGCAGTTCCGTGAACTCGTGCCGAAGTTGCAATAAGATCTCTTCGCAATGTGATCGTGCTTTCATAATTACACACATGTTATTTAAGTATTCTATATATGTTGTTAGCGCCGTATTACCTTCTTGATAAGGGAATGTGTCATAGTAGACAACGAGGCGCCAGTCGTCTCGTATTAAATGCATGTTTGTTATGGTATCAAAATGGAGACTGCTGTTTTGTAATGGTGTTATGTTATAGGAGCATTGTACCGTCGAGATCATTGTAATAAAGACGGCTCCGTGGCGCAGTGGCTTAGCAATGAGTTGTTGCGCTGGGGGCCGCGGGTTCGAATCCCGCACGGAACAAGTGTTTGTATGGCCTACAAATAATTGTTCCGGCTCTGGATGTTTGTCCTTGTGCAATTTGTGTTTGTAAACTGCCTCCACGAAACAGGATAAAAATCCTAGTGTAACGTTTTATAAAAAAAAAGAAAAAAAAAAGAAAGAATAATAAAAGTGATTTAATCATTGATGTTAAGCAATATTTTTTTCTTCTGTTTGATTTAGGAATTGATTTATTTTCATTTTCATGATTTTGTTTTTCTGTTGAACTGCTTGTCCCTTCTTGATTTTGCTCAACCGGTAAATTTGAAAGCTTCACGATTGGCCGTTGTAAAGTTCCGTTTTTGGTTTTAAGAGTGACAACTCTGACGTACCCGTCGTTGACCGGACGTAGCTGCACAACTCGGCCAAGGGGCCACTTTCCGGGAGGAAGGTTTTCGTCCCTGATAATAACGATGTCATTCTCTTTGATATTTGGCTGCGGTTTTCTCCATTTACTTCTGGCTGCTGATTGGGTTAAATACTCGTTGCGCCATCTTTCCCAAATATCGTTAAATATTTTTTGGGTTAAATACCACCTTGTCCTTAAATCAGTTTCGGTATCGTAGATGTTCAACGTAGGACCGCTTGAAAAAAAGTGGGCAGGTGTTAGAACGTCTAAGTCATTGGGATCTTCAGTTAATGCACATAGAGGTCTCGAGTTTAGACATCCCTCCAGTTGAGAAAGTAGGGTGCTGTATTCTTCAAAAGTAAGCGCTTGTTCGCCAACCACGCGCTTAAGATGATATTTTAAGCTCTTAACCGCAGCTTCCCATAAGCCGCCCGTTGATGGCCAAGCGGGAGCATTAAAGTGCCATTCAATTCCCAAACTGGCAACTCGCGACATAAAGTTTGGGCTGAACATTTCTTGAATCGCTGAATTGCGGCCTTGACCACTGTAGACGTGTCCGGGAGTTC